AAGTTGACCTTGAGGTGTGCAGCTCTTTGAATAAGCGTCTTCTAGTGTCACCGTACCCGAACCGGTCGAAACGTTCAAAAGGTTCCGGCATATAATTAAAGCCCAGAGGCAACTTAATCGAGAGGCACATAAATACGATGACTCAGCTGGTGTCTTGTGGAAGTGCTTCGATTTGAACATAAGTCCAATTTGTTGAATATTCAACGAAATTTCTCCAGCAAGACATACACCGAGAGGGAAAAACACGATCACATCGAAGCAAGACGATGGTTATATTTGATCGCACAAGAGAAGAGTCGCACAAAACCGATCTGGAGGATAGTCCGGGCTGATAAGCCGTTTTTTACTCACGCCTTCGTTTGGAAAATGACAGCTCAATTTGAAGTGTAGCTGAGGCCACGTGATATGAAGCCGTTCTGGAACGCCCAACAAAGCAGTGCATGTATTGATTTTACCAACAAATTCAAAACGCGTCGTCCGTCAATTTGGAAATGAGTTTATCTCACTGGTGGCCAGCGAGTAATTCAGCATGCGATGAGAGCTGATCTGCTGAGGTAGTTTTCAATGAATTTCATTTTACCTGTCAAAATAAGTAAATATTCATTCCGCCTGACGAGTTGGAAGGAAAGGAAATACTGAGCGCTTTGTTATTGGTCTCCTGCACACACCAGTCTGGATATCGCAAAATTTCTTGCACTGAGGTTTTCGGTAACTGCTACTCATTGAATGCATTCGCGGAAGTCATATTTTTCACAAGTGAAGGTTGGTAAATCTTCTAGCTTGAGGTTGGTAGTAAAAAATGGTTTGGCCTAATTAAATATTATTTCACATTTATGCAGTCTCTAGAGGGGCCAGATTTATTCAATTGCTGCGCAACAGCTGGGATTTTGATTTAATCGAAAACTTTTTCCTTTATCAGAAACAGTGGTCGTCAGTGGTTATAGGGTGCGGCACATTCTTTTTGGCAGTCAACTTGGAGGACTCTATGCTAAAGTGACTGCCTCCAGTGCTCAAAAATGCAGAACGACAAATGAAACATGGACGAAATGAAAGTACAATAACTGTACAAAGTCTACGAGTCATTTATTAAATAAATTCTAGCTACGTTTCCTACGACGACCTTGTTAGTTCACAACTGATGCATCAGCAACCGTTGTAAAAAATCGCGAAGTCGCGCATTTTAATGGCATGTGGTTAATAGAAGCAATAACATAAGTGGGAATTATATCAGATATGTTATGTCTGATGCGGGGCAATATCATATTCACTCCAGTGGATGAGGATGGAAAAATGAAACATTGAGAAGAAGAAAATGTGATGAAAATCTGTATGTTGCACGAGTTTGGTTAATACCTATATCGTTGACTTTCTGTCGGCAGGCATTGAAGACCTAAAAAAGAATTGTTTCACACGCGCAGCCGGAACGAATTCAATCGGACTCGAAGCGGAATCCGCCGCCATGACTAACAACCTCATCCAAATGATTAGCTTCCCTATGCAGGTTGGCGATCGAAATGATGAGCGTGCTCAAACTCTTGACTTTGAGCCAAAATACCATTTTTTACTTCTTCACACAACCAACCATCTCCGCTTCTCTCACTGTAGTAATTCCGAGGGTAATGAAAACTCTAACGTGAAGGACTCCAGAGCGAATGACAGTGATATTTTGAACCATGTCAATCAACTGGCAATTTGTTAGCTCTAGTTTCTCAACATGAGTCAGCTTCACCCGACAAACATGGAAAATGCTGTGATTGGTTGGTATCCCGGAGCGGAATAATCAAAATTGGTGGTGTGGACCAGGACACCTAATTACGAGGAATAACGGATCAAAAGTGTGGAGAACAAGTCATACCCCTCAAGTGAAGAGACTTCAAAGGGAGACCCGACTGACAGATGCAAAAATTCAATGTTCGTGATAATATTGAGCACACAAGTTAACGCGAATGAACCATTAGCACCGCAAACTAGATGGGTAAAACAAAAACGCGGATTGTGGTGGACAGACGACATACTTGGCTCTTCACGCATCACGACATGGGTTGTTTGTTTTGGGATGAAGCGGCTATTTTCGGTTGCTCCGAACACTTTGCAAAACCGTCTAAGCAGAGCCTGAAACAAACGAGCGGAGAATTGGAAGTCGCTAAAATCTACGGCGATCACTGAACAGAAATCAAACGATGATTAACGTACATCTGCATGGACTTCAGCACGAAAAAGCCGTGTCTTGGTTGCGAGATGATATCGTATTGTGTATTGTGTAGCTTTGTTAGCAGTGAAGCTTACACTTCAGTAAAATAATAGTTGGATAACAGCTAATTAAAACCAGGGAAAATGAAGGGAGAACAAATAACGTAAGATAGATGCTAGATTGAAAAACGTTCTACCTGAAACTGTCTATCTTTCAATTATTTAAAAAATATATCATTTAAATCTGTTTGGCGCAATTTCGGCCTTCATCGCCAATCCACAGCGTTTCTTAATACGACTTGACTATATAAATATTCAACGTATTTAGTGGGACTTAAAGTAGCCCTGATTGGGAGGGAGGAGAACAGGATTTTTGAACGAGTATTGTTGAAGGAACTTAGGTCGAAGGGAGAAATGGTTTGGTACAGTACAACCAGCTTCGGTTTTCGCGCGTGCACCGTTCAAGTGTGACCGACAAATGACTGAGTGTCACTATAATGCTGAAAGGATGATAAACATGTATAGTAGCATCAAGCGCGAGCTGTCGGGACACGGACCACCTGTATATTTGGTCTAGGTAGAACTAGTGGATCATACTGTTTTATCAAAGGGTGAGATCCTTCAAGTTAAGTTTAGGGTTTGGCATGAGCCACCGCGTACTACAACAACTAAAAAACTGATGTTAGCAACTTGTTTTTTTCAGTATCACAATTTGATAGTAAAAACGTTTCATTCTATTTGACGGAATCACCTTGTTATCGTTTACAAAGGAACTGAGTTACTCTATTGATCGCCTATAAGGAACCGAAAAGATTGAAAGAAAGCACGCACTGCTGGCTTAAGTTTTAACAAATTTGCTTAGCCACCGGCTACTTTTTTACACACATTTGTGTGATGCACAGCCGACGGGATGAACCCCATAGTCGCGAACGCCTGCTGCTCAGTGATAGAAACCGGCAACCAAAGTGGAGTGACAAACCACATAAGGCCCCACCCACTAGGTTAGACGTGGTACCAAACCAGAATACAGCAAAGCTGCCTACCACCAAAGTTGGGTAGCCGTGGTGGGCTTCGAACTTCGGACCATAAGGTTCAAAGCACGCCGGTGACAACGACGAAACCATTGCACCACCGCCACCCCATATGAAACAGCAAAACGCGAACTCAGTTATCAAGAAAATAACAGAACACGGTAGATGGAAAATTAGAAGCATACCAAGCCGTTGCCCGTGAGATTTGACCCGGTAACTTTCAGTGATGATGGAGAAAATCGACTGCATTGCGGATGTTGTGATACGGATAACGCATCATCTGGACGATTAGACAGACCATCCAGATCGGTTTCAGGACATTCCGTCAGATCCGTCCGAGGAAGTGTTGGTTCCATATGTGTCGGTTTGCACGCCGTGTGTGATTTTGATGGAACCAAAGGAGTGGGAATTAAGCTGCCCGTGACAGCCCCGAAAGAGCTGGGTGGTTGAGAGGCCTCAACCCGGGTGATGGTCGTTGCGCTGGAATGAACTGGCATATTTTCAAGTGATACGTTTTCTTTGTCTTCGGACAATTTCTCGACGGTGTCCAGTTCATCGTCGACTTGCGATGAAGGAATCACGATAACGGGTTCGTGACTAGAGGTTTCGGTTATCTGACAGAAAGTAAACAACAACCATAATATTGTGCTTAATTCTTTCGGTGAGATGAAACTACCCCGCACAATCTGGGAAGTAAACAGTAAGTGGTCTAAACCAGTGTCGTTAATAGAGCGCGATAATACAGGCAAGGCAATCGGAATCTCGCTATTGCCAAATACTGACAATCAAGCATTTGAAATCTTTTTATTCCGGCTCATCAATGTGACAATCAAGTGTCACCCTTAAAGCTACCACCCCTTGGTAAACTTGAGGAATAAACGGTAAATGATAGAAAACAGAGTGAGGTGCAAGGGGAAGGGGACTAGATACGACTCCAGGCATCCGGCCCCGAGGATACCTCGAAGATTCACTGAATTGTACAAGATAAAGTATCACGCTTTCATCTGTTACGTAACAGCGACAAGTGAATTATGGCTTAAGTGCTCACTTCAGTTCTAATAGTATCATATCTTTGGATTTATCTCTTGAGCTGTCATCGTTCTGTTTGTAATACCAAAGACTGCCTCAAATGATAGAGCTTCTACGACAGCACATCCGAAAAGTACTAATGAAATGATGTTCAAATAAGCAAGTGAATGATGTGTTATGTCTGTACTGGAAAGTAATGGAAGTTGAGTTTCAGGTGGAAAATGTGAAAAAAGATGAACGACAATCGTGATACTTACTGCATTGGTATCAGAATCAGATGAATGGTCTCCTGTCTTCGACTTCTGTGACTTTCCAACGGGGTCGACAATTCGTGAATACATTTCCATCTCCTCCTCGCACGGCTCTGTACCAGCTGTGCGCAGGAGCTCTTCAGTGGCATTGGGACTTAGCTGAGCAGCTTGTGCTTCTAACTGTTGCTGTAAGGCAGCAACAACCGCTTCTAACTCGTTGCATTCATTTCGAAGACGTTCTCGATCCTCAAAAAAAACATTTTTTCAAAAAATTATGTAAACGAAAAAGTGGACTGAAACCAGAAAAACTTTGATAAAACAATTAATATTTGACAGGAATCCTGACTGAATGGTCACTGCACCTTCGTTGTTTTAAAGCTATGACCATGCTACTCAATGGAATAATAGAATAGGGTCCCAAGTTGATACATTGTAGAAGAAAGGGAGTTCTTAAAAACTGAGCAGTAAAAATTACTTGGTGGAACATACACCGGTACACCTCAAACTGAGGGGATTGCAATTAATAGTTTCTGGTGACAATGGGGTTAACCTCTTTCTACTGTTCATCAAAAGAGGATACGTAATTTAAAAAAGAACAGAATGAAACCAAAGGAACCAACACGGAACTACCCCTCGACCAATCATCACAAGTAGAACGCAATATAGTAAGAATGGCGTTTTATCACAGATGCTGGTCATATTTGGTGACAATGTTCGAAGATTAATGACGACGACCGATGAGGGGTACATCGCGGAGATATTGGTATCAATACGATTAACTTAACCTTCGCCGGTGATGTGGACAAACCATTAACCATGCACTTTCGTGCGCCGGTTTTGGTTACTATCTTTTGGCTGCCCTTTTCGTTGAAAAGTACTAGAAAGACGGGAAGACTGAAAGTGGAATCGAGGAGAAAACTGGCAATTTCAGTTGAATACNAATACTGTTGCGAAGAAATTAAGATGCACGAATGCCACTGTTTAGAACTCCCAGCCATATCATTCAGTGTCTCTAGCCATCGATTACGATCATTCCCAGGTCCCCATCCAGGGAGCCTAACGGCTAACATTGCTCGCCGTAGTAAACTATTTGGTGACATGCGTAACATATGCGCCAAACGACGTAATCTATAGAGGTCGACCACTTGCTCCAGTGGGTGACCGCGGTTACCTAAAACTCTGCGCCTGACCTCAACACTGCTCGTTCGGCTGTCCTACCAGGCTCACGCAGTGCTGCGTAGACAGCGGTGTTCAAACACCTAAAGTCTATCTTTATCCTGTTTTAATAATGGCCAAGTTTCTGCTCCATATATCAGAACTGGCCGAACCGCTGCGGCAAACACTCGACCCTTCACAGACAGCCGGACTAACACCGCTCTTGGTTTCGAATGATTTACTTAACGCATTTTAGGCCCTTACGCTAACAAAAGTATGCAAGTACACTGACCGCAATAGATTTACCTGCTTCTGTGATCAGCTGAATCAAAGGCTACCTCCGGGTTAAGGAACACTGCGATTGTTGGCCGACGATGAGTGTGACGCAATTCGAGGATGTGACGTAGTGAAGATTTGGTCAATGTAACCGCGACCTGGTCGGAATTCTGCTTGCTGATCGCGAATTTTCAACTTCCTTAAGGGTGTCAGGCGACGAAGTATCACAGAAGTTAACATTTTTGTTATTATCGGAACTAAACTAATCCCACGGTGGTTAGCGCAGGCGTTGCGAGATACCTTCTTGAAGATCAGAACAATCAACGATTCATCCCAGGTTAAAGGGGTACGCTCCTTTTTCGAAATGCTGCGAAGCAAGCTAGTGATCGAATCGATGAGTCAGCTTGAAAAGAATAGAGAGAAACCCATCAGGTCACGCAGTTTGCCCTTTCTTTAATGACTGAATACAGCTTAGTATTCCCAATTCGGATGGGGGTTCATATTATACCACCCACGAGGTTTCCACTGCAATTGCCGGAAGAACCGCATTAGCACCAGGTCAACTGAACCGTTCACTAAAACACTCCACTTAGCGATCAAGTCGTTGTTCTTTATTGTGGTTACTCTGTTCACTTTCATCGCAAACGACCTCACTGACCGGTATGTGATGACCTCCGGTGCTGCGTATCAAGTGAAATAGTCTGAATATTCCCTGATGCAGAAGCTACCTCCATTTCACTAATTGTTTTGACACACCAGTTTTCGCGATCTTTCTTAAGGCTTCTCCTGAGCTGACGTTGCAGGTACCAGCCGTTCCTACACTGGTCCTGGCAGATTGGGATCTTTCGCTATCTTTCCATGAATATTACTGAGTCCTGAGTAATCCAATGTCTTTGACAAACTTCGGGCTCGGCCCCACAAGCATAGTTTGCTGTCAAATGCATTGCTCCTATGATATGGTCTCACTGTTGGTCTACTCCACAACTCGTGGTGCCCCTAGCTCTTGTTCAAGCTTCCCCAATACGTGCGCAAACACATGGATCGCACAGACGATGATGAGCTAACTGGGGAGGCGATTTATGCCGATGACTGATGAGTCGAAGCGTGAAGCGAGTCAGAACTACAGCGTAATTGGACTCAACGCAGATAGTCCAATAGGATCTGTACTTCCGCACAGAGCCAAGCCAACGGTAGCTTACAGTTATGTGGTCCATTTGGGTCAATGTGCCTGCTGAACTAGAACACCAAGTTGCCGTCCGACGAGAGCTGTGTCGAAATTTGGTGCTAGGTAAGAACAGCCGGTGATCTGCGCGGGACTAAAGTATTCGATCACTAGTGTGTATTCGCTGGGTGGGAAGGACGAAGACCCCCACCCTTCCTTATACAGGCTTTGGATGCGCTCAGTTTTCCAACCTGCACGTTAAAATCGCCTGCCAACACTATAATATCAGGGCTGTGGCTCAACCGAATCAGGTCGGTGAGTTAGTCGTAAAATTCGTCCTTTTGCTAAGTGGAACTGCAGCTGGTTGGTGCATATGCGGAAATGATGAACAAACACCTTCCAGTGTTACTGCCCTTCCGAACACCAACTAAACCCTGGAGTCTCACTGCGCACAAACGACCATTGACGGATATCCAATCTATCAGTGAGTCTTTAGCTTCGTCGATTAATACAATCCCCACACCACGCTGAGTGGGCTTCATCGTCTCCTGATGTACGAAGGAAATACCTCGAGACCCGGTGCACTCAGGTGGCTTATAACATTAGCATTGTAATGTACTACTCACATTTGTGAGTAGAATTTGGTGTTCTTCAACGATCAAAAATTAACAAGACCACTGAGGGCGAATTGCTATGCCTCAAAGAATAACTACGGACTGCTCCAGTCATTACCCGATATGCTGCCGGAAAGTACGACGATCTATTTCAAATGCGATTTCTGTTATATGTATACCAAATTAGCGATATCCCAACTGTAACCTGTAATAAACTACTTCCTTCGATCGAGCACCGCCTCGTGGAATTATAATACTAGGATCCTGCATTCGTGTCTCCCATATACAACAGACAACAATTTCTAAAGAATTCATTGTACGCGCAAGACACGCCTATTGACCCACCTGCATCAGAGTCCTCCCGTTGAAAGCCCTCAGAATGAGAGCTCGACGAGGCTTCAAAATTTGCACTTGATTAACGAGCAAAATATTTACAGTGCTATGTAGCAAAGACTTTTGGCGAGTGAAGACCAAGTTGTCTGAGGGAAACTTACGGGTCGAAAGAAGGGGTAAATGGAGAGGGTTGGGTACGGAAGAGAAAGGGTTAAACAAAGGTTGGGGTATTTGAGTAGTAGCCCACTTATCACTACCCACCGCGCTTGATGCAATGGGCAGCGCGATCCTGATTATCCTGCGAGACGACTGATGCAGCATGGAATTGTTTTTTGTTTGTGTATGCATGGTGGTTTGATGGACGGGTACTGCCACTAAGCAGGAGAATCATTAGTGTTCTCAGTCAAAGCCTTTGGTTCCGACAAGAACCTAACCACAAGGCAGCGGGTAAGGTGGACTGGAGTCCCATTTACATGGATAAACTACTCCGCCAGCATTTTACCGGCTAAGACGCCTATTCGAGTCGAACCCCCAACTAGGAAGACCAGGAGACTGGACTTTGTCTGACCTGTACCCTTTGATCTTCCAGGCATAATTAGATCTTCGGCTTGACAAAAGACATCCTATGTGTAGCTCGTTAGGTCACAGAGGTGCACGCTACATCAAAGGACTTAGTTCTGACAGCGCTATCCGAAAGATGGAAAAACCACGAATGATAGAGGTAGGATCGCCAGGGTAAGGGTAAAGAATGAGGATGAGGTTCGGTCTGGATAAAGCAGATTGATAAATGAAGTGCGCTCCTACGGTATAAGCTGATATTGAGTTTCCAAAGTCAAATTCGAGTCACTTTGTTGGCCGTTGTGAAAGAATGTACGAGCATTGAATGCGACTAAATGAACAGGATAATTCGGTATCATCAATCTAATGGAGTCTTTGCATGCCTTTATAATTAAATTCGAGGTAATATGCTCTGCTTGGCAGAAACGATACAATCCTCCCAAACTTATATTGTCACAACTCAGATTGATGAGCTTATACAGCGTATTCACAGTAGCCGATGATTGAAGCCACTAGGCTTCGGAGCAGCGAAATGTACAAAGTTGCATGGGGTATGCTAGGGTAGAGTTTGAAGGTGAAAAAACGCATACCGGAAGGAGTAACAGAGCTTACATTCGAATATATGAACCAAGACNCTGTCCATTAATTACTAACAATGCATATTTAAGATATGAAATGCACGATAATCAGCCTGCTGACTGGAAGAGAAGCGAAGTGAACAACCTTGACAAATGCACAGTATACAAACCAACTGCATATACATCCAAAAATATAAACAACTTCAGTGATCAAAAGTAACTTACTACAGTAGGAATGACATCCATACTACAAGTCGGAAACGTAGAATTGGCTGCTGAACTTTCAGAAGGTTCGATTGAATTACCTTTGCTCTTGGTACGGCGATAAGGGACTGGTGCGTGTGTGCGAGGAAGTGATGTGCATTCGAGAGATTCTTGCTGCTTCTGGGATTGAGATAGTGGAGCAACTGGGGTCAGATCCCGGCCAGAAAATTGTGGAATTTGGACAGTGCTTGAGATACTTGAATTTTTGTTTAACTGGAGAGACCCGTCTCCTATATGAGATTTGAGTAGTTCTTCCGAGCCAACGTTAGGCTAATGAAAAAAATATTTAAATACATGGTGATTTCTCTCGCGTATCACTAAACTGATTGTAAACAATATGTGATAACAGAAAGATTTTAACGCTGAAAACAAAAGGCGTCACTCGTGGTGCTTCCAGCTCCAAAGGCATGACAATAAAGAACCCCGGAACTCGCTCGATAAATCACAGACCTCATCTTATGGAATAGTGCACAACATGTAAATTTCTCAGTTAGTTTAGGTAAAAGTATGACCACCCTTTATATGCGTTACGGACCTTCAAAAGGCATGCTGTCATTGCACATGGGTCGGGCCTACTTACAAGCCTTGTGGTCTGAAGAATAGAAATTTTTGCTTGTAAAGTGGTTACATCGCCCTTAAAGACTAAGGTTCACAAGACGTGTCATTAGACTTAGTTATTTTTTGTCAATCTGGGTTATTTGTAACACCTAAATGAAATTCGTTTTTCCGCCAAGGATTGGTTGTGTTGTAGTGTTTCTGTTAGTCTTCCTTGTCGCTAGACGTGGTCGCGGCGCACAAAACATGCATAAGGGCTAAGTGATCCAACATCTTTGTTCGCAGAATTGTGCATGTCTGATCAAATAACCAAATCAGCGACAGTGAAATGGTTATATGTGATTAGATACTCCGAGGCTGTGCTTAGATATTTCACGTGCTTGAACGGAAGGATGTCTTCTCGCCCGGTTACTTCGGGTGTTCTGCAAGGCGCAATTCTTTTCTTTTTATCATTCCTCTTGTTTTTCTCGGCTGCAAATACGTCCACGACGTTGTTTCAGGATGCGAAGCATCCACTTCTGTGGAAGCCTTAGAAATTAACGGCAAGCTACCGGATGTGAGCTGGTCCCTATCCCATTCCTGTTCGCTGAATGCTTCAAAATGTTGGGATGTTTCGTCCTCCCCATTGACTGAGGAACCATAGAGAGCCCTCACAAGTATGTTTCCCTTCTTTTCTGTCAATCATGAACCCATGCCCACATCAAAAAGGGGAAAATACCTGATCTTCACACTATTACACAATCTACCATGATCCCTGCACATTCATGAGACACTGTCAAGTAAAAAAGCGGTGGTATTTACCTATCCGATTAAGAATACTTTCTGTTACCCACAAGTTGATTTTTTTAATTTGTGAATGCATGTGTGCTCCCCACTGGCTACACCAGTCCCCAATGATTTTCCCCGGGCTGTTGTAAAAGACATAACTTACTGACAGGATCCCTGAAACACATCTCCTCATGTAGTGGCATCGCAATTGAGAGGCACTTTAATTCCGCCACCACCATCTACCTTCCCCATTTCTGTAATTACCCAGACAGTCTTTGTGTGGCCGCGACGCCCTTCCTGAAAGTTAAATGTACATCTCTATACTCAGCAAATAATAT